ACACACACACACACACACACACACACACGCACACGCACACGCACACGCCCCCCCCACACACACACACATGCACGCACGCACACGCTAGCCTGGTTTTGCCGGACGGCACGTCTCTCCGTCCTTCGCGAGGAACCAGTGTCCGTACGCCTTCGCTCTCGTCATCTTCTTCGCCACGCCGACGATGAAGTTGTTGTTGATGATGTAGGGATCAGGCAGCAGCCGCCGCCTCGCCTCCGCCGTCATCCTGTACCACATACCGTCGGCTATCTGCTCGTAGGGGAACAGACGGCACCTCGCTCCAGCGTGCCTCGCCTTGCACAGCCCGTCGAGTATGTCCTGTTCGTATTCCGTAAGAAGTCCCTTCTCCAGACGCCTAACCATCTCTCCCCAGACGCCAACGCCACCTGGCGTCGCGTTGAGAAACATGAAATTCACCGAGTAGTTTCCCAGATGCGGCTTGTTGCCGAGTTGCGCGGCGACGACGTCATATCCGGTCGAGCTCGTGACGTCACCGAGGAGTGGCACGGGGTTTTTTCGCCACAGGCAGTCGGTTTCGAACATGATGAAGGACACGTTGTGACGTAGCAACTCGAACATTAGCTTCACGCGCATGAGCAGGTAGACGCGATATCCGTTCGAGCCGAACTTGTGCCGCTGCGTCATATCCGCTTGCGTCACGTGCCGGAAGACGCGCACCGTCGGCCAGCGTCGGCGCAGCGCGTCGTGCGTCGCGTCGTCGGTTGCTATGACGACCGTCTGCTCGTGCACGCCCGCCATCGCGGCGGTGTTGCACAGCCAGCTGAGCGTCATCGGAAGATACGCGGCGTTGACGGTGGCGATCAGAGGCACGCGGCCGGCCCGCGTTATTTCCTCAGTCATCCGCACGAGGGCGCCAACATCACTAACACCGAGAGAATGTCCGCCGCCGTTCGCTGGCTCCATCTGGTGGCTCCATAAGAAAGAATAGTAGAGGGATACGAACACGAGCGTGAGGAAAGATGACGTAAACACAATCCGGCTCTGCCTCGACTTCACCATCTTGGACGGAACTGATGACGTAAGCACAACATTAGTACACGTCACCGAATCCGCGCGAATGTTTTGGTTTATATAATATGAAACGCAACTTTCTTTCCTTAATAGTGCGATGCGTGCATTTGGCTTCTAAACGCTTCTGCGTGCAGTGTTACCCTAAAATTCAGGAGCCAAATTAAAGCTTTATTGATTGTCTAACTCTCTAATTACTTAGCTTAACTTGACTGAGATAGTTACGAAATTACTAATATTCTGGCATCACTTCATTGATGAATGCATCGTTCTGCTTTCCTAAAATTCTAAATCTATTTACTTGTGATAGATGGAATTATATGATTACCAGTGAATCATCAAATTTATCATTATTCGCCCCTGATATTACATTATTATAATTTAGTCAACGTAGGGCATACAGTCTTAAGAAAATTAATAGTAATGATTCAATGATCTATGTTAATCGTAGATCTGCTACTCTATATATAGGTTCAACCACTATACAGCCCAACTGTTAATACCGCTGTAGTAAGCCGTAGAGGCTCTCTCTCTCTCTCTCTCTCTCTCTCTCTCTCTCTCTCTCTCTCTCTCTCAAGACTTGCAGGCAAAGTAGAATAATGTAGTCGTGAAATAGCACTATTTTCCCGTTTTTCCGTTGTACACTCTAGGTATTATTAGCTCTTGATATATATATATATATACAGAGAGAGAGAGGGGGGTCGGGGAGACTGTAAGACCGGTATTCTATACGTCAGCAGAACTATACGTCATTAACGTCAGAGTTATAGTTATAGCCTTCGGTATAATTAAGTGTACATAGTGTAGCAGGGCTACGCGAAAAGCTGTGGGGATATTCTCAGCGCGATGACATAATTGCTAAACTTAAACGTGACCGCTTGGGTTCTAACTGAGTACTAAGGGCGTGGCCCAATCACCAGCCAGCTCTTCGGTGAGGTGACCCTGGTTTGATATCAAGTTCGATATAAAATCTATTCACAGCTGGGCTCAGTTTCCCTCGCCCATAGCCACAACACTATTGCCAGGAGATACGCGCCCGCACCAAACCATATACGCGTCTCCCCTACCATGACACACACGCACGATGGATAGAAAAACCAACCGCGCGCCGCGACACGCAGTGAGTTAGCCTCAGTCAGTTAGTCTTAGTCAGTCACGTATAGCCACATGTAGTGAGGAAGTAGAAGAACTTATATGTGTTGTACATATAAGTTACCTAGTCTGTACCTAAACATTACCTAGTCTGTATTTAGTAATTCTCTGAGTAGAATACAACCATCTAGTCTGTTACAGCAAATACGTGTTATCTCTACTGTGAAGTTATTCGCTACTCGCCTTACGTCGCACAAGAGGCAAGTCTGACATATTGCCTTCAAGCGGAAACGCAAGCACGAACAGAAACAACGGCTGGAGAAGAATACAGAACGCAAGGTTCATAACATTACGACCTATACGATCACGTGACTACACACAGTCGGGCATCTCCCGACGTGCCTTACGAATCGTCTATAACACTGATACAACCACAGGCACTTGGACCGTTTCAATAATAAAATGATGGTTAATAAATACAACTTGGCAGTAGTACTACTAGCCCTACCACTACCAGTACCAGTACCAGTACCAGTACCAGTACCAGTAATAGTCATTATCACTGTGTATTTGTGCATGCACAAGGGCGTGCGCGCTATGTGTTGCAGCGGTGTACTGGGCGGTGTTGAAGTGAAGTTATTAGGTCAAATCAAACATTTAAGGCTATTACTGGTACTGGTACTGGTAGGGCTAGTAGTAGTACTGACAAGTTGTATTTATTAACCATCATTTTATTATTGAAACGGTCCAAGTGCCTGTGGATACAACCCATATCTCATGTACTACAGCAGAACCCTGGTACAATAGCACTACGAACCAGGACGATGCACGGGCGCACTTACGAGCACAAACACCCGCACGCACGCACGATGGCACGCACGCACGCACGATGGCACGCACGCATGCGCGCACACACACACACGCCCCCACACACACAGCACACCACCCCACCACACACAC